AAGGTCCCATAAGGGTTCTAGAATATACGGAACCCGACGGTATAGAAGTACTATGTATTCCGACCTTCTATCTTATGATTCTTCCAGGCCTTGGATGTAGGTTTTTGTTTCGAGATGTGTTGCAACTTTGTTGTTTCGGACTTGGGGGTTTGCGGGCCCTAAACCCTAAACCCTAAACCCTAAACCCTAAACCCTAAACTCCTAAGCCCTAAACCCTAACCCTAAACCCTAAGTTACGGACTTTGGGGCTTAGGTTACCGGGTTTAGGGCCCCAAGATCTCCCACGTCGAAACTGCAGATTTTTTGATATGGGTAGTTCTCAAAATTAGGGTCCCTTTTTGGGTCCTTATTATAATACGGCACCTATTATTTAGGGTACCCCAAAAGGGACCATAATTTTGACAACTGCCCATATGGGTAGTTCTCAAAATTAGGGTCCCTTTTGGGATCTTTTCTTGCATGTCGCTAGGAACCACCACGGTAGCATTCGTTTCATCAAAGTAAAAGCCCATACCGACGGCAAGTCTTCGCAGCCTTCGACACTTACGGAAGGCAATGAAGCAGCTGACACGTTGGCCAAATCCACAGCCAAAACACTTTCATCTAGGCTAGTCGCTGACTACATGCCGTTCTTACACAAAGCAGTTGAACTCCAAGTTCATCTTGTCACTACTCTCATCAAGCGTAGTGGTGTCTGCGAGTTGGCGCCATTTGACGAGGCTGACGCTCCAATGACACCCCTAACTACGCAGACTGTATGCACATGTAAACCTTTGACACGTCTTTTCAGTAAACGTCCACGCAAATGCTACAAAGCATGTCACCTAATCGGGCATACGGTTTTAGTCGGTGAGGTTGAGGATAAAGTACTTGCGTTATGTAGAGCTGGCCAAACCATTCCTGACAACTTGATGCAATGCTTGCGGCAAAGATATGTGTCTTCTTCGCTAATGTTACCCCGAATGTGGTTCACTTTCACAGATACCCGGATCTAGATATTACTGTTTTGATTAAAGGAAGGAGTCGTATTTCCAATACTGCAGATGAAGCCTTTGCCTCGTTTTTGAGCGAGAGCAGATGGGCTTTCAGTCCCACCGCAGACGGCCCGCGAACACCGTGGCTGTCGGTACTCATCGAGTTTCTGTCCATTCATGGGTTCTTCCCTGGCTGGTTGGTGTCTGGTATGTCTGCTAGCATTCTTATGTCGCGGTTCAGGTCTTGCTTTGTGAAACTTTGCAAATCCAACTCAATCTCCTTGATTTCAGCATCACATCTTCGAACAGCAGCATCTTTTGGCATGAGAAATCTCAGCGGATTTTACGGATCTGTGCTCTGCAAGAACATTCAGCATTACCTTTTCGTCATGTTGCAAGCCGGCTTGTTCTGTAATCAATTTACTTCGGACGGTTCCAAGCTGAGCACGAAGTGGGTGCCTGACCTTTCACAGTTCCATAATATTCCGCACCATCAATGATTTTCCTTTTCGTTAAATTCGCCGAATCGGGCTTCATCTTAGCATCGTCGACAGGTCGCGGCCTTAGACACACAGTGCAGCAAAAAAAAATTAGGGTCCCTTTTTAGGTCACCGTTATAATACGGCGGACCCCCAAAATGACCCTTATTTAGAGAACTACTCATAAAGAAGCCGAAGTAATTGCCAATATTCTTGACCTACTATAAAGGAGCCCAAGACCCTACTATTGTTAGGGTTCCTTATTATAAATCTACTATTATCAAGGAGCCCAAAACCCTGTTCTAATTATTAAGGCCCCTACTTTGCACATGTTCAGGCTCGTTGCTCTATCCGTTCCTGCCCCTCGGTCGCAGGGTCCAACGACCCCTGAAGCCCAAGCCCTCAAAAGAATCTAAACCCGAAAACTTCGAGCTAAACCCTCTAACATAGGGGCCTTAATAATTAGAATAGGGTTTGGCGGGTATATGTATATTATACATAATTATGATAAGGAGCCCCCAAAACCCAGTTCTAATTAATAACACCCTTACATTAGGATCTTCACTGGTATCGTTTGTGTTTTCTTGGGGTCTGCATTCCTATTCTCATACAGCTAGCCCACACAAGCATACACTTGTTCCCAGTGCGCTGCTGAACTGAATAGCCCTGGACCCCTTGAGCCTAACCCCCTAAAACCCCTGGACCACACGAGCCCAGACCCCAAACCCTGGAGCTGGATCAAGGACTCTACGTCATTTTTTGGGGTTCAGGGCTTAAGGGTGCAAGGGTTCAAGGGATTAGGGCTTGTGAGTTTAAGGGTTTTGGGTTTAAGGGCAAGATCTTGGCTGGGGACGATGGTTCAAACAGGGGTTTGGGGTTTAGGGGTCTGAATATTTTTTCATAAATACCTTGTCCCTGTATCTATAGCATAATATACTATGCATAATATACTATGCAAGGCCCTTTTCGAATTATTAAGGCCGGTAGTTACACCGGCCACAGTTGGGATCTTCTTGACGTTACTTGGAGCCTTACTAAGTCCCATGAACCCTAAACCTAAACTCTTAAGGATCTAATGTAGGGGCCTTAATAACTAGAACAGGGTTTGAGGGTATATTATGGTATAAATATAATAAGGAGCCCCCCGCAAAAAAAACCTTATTCTCATGATTAAGGCCCCTACATTTATGCTTTGTTTGGGTCTAGGCCCTTAGGCTCCAGGTTCTGCAGTCGTTGGTTGTGGATGTCAAGGCAGGACTACCCAGGCTAATATAGAAGCCGAAATAATTACCTATACTATTTTGGGGGCTCCTTATTATAACTCTAACGCAATATACCCCAAAACCCAATTCTGATTGCTCAGGCCCCTACATTATCCCATCATCCCAAACCTACATCCTCGAAAGCCTGAAGCCTAACCCTAAACCCTAGACTCCTAAATAGTAGCGGAGTCCTAAACCCTAAGCCCTAAAACGGAACAATTGGAATCTCGGTGCCCTTGTAGTTTCTTTCACCCTCTGAAGCCTCCCTTTGATGTCCTTTATGACTTAGTAGTAACAACTTTAGTTACAAAGTCCCAAGATATCCCATGACCTCTTCCAAAAGCACTGAGAAGAACAGGTCATCTTCAGTCTCAGCGGGCAAGACCTCAAAGAAACCCTGCAAGCTCATCGTCGATAACCAGCCATATTCGGCTGGGTTCTGGAGTACCATACTTGAATACTTTTTTGGGGGACCTGTTCCTTAAGGGAACCATTATGAAATAAGTGTCTATACTTCTTTCTTCCTGGTTACTTCAAAGTCTAGTCAGACGCTTTACCGGGTATATTGCAGGCTCTACAGTGTTTGTCCATTAGTATATTGGGATCTTTACAACGGGATCCGAGCCCTAAACCCCTAAACCCTGAACCCCTAAACTCCTAAACCCCTAAACCCCTGAACCCCTAAACCCCTAAACCCCTAAACCCCAGAACCCTGAACTACCGAGAGCGGCGCTGGCCCTGTACACGGTCCGAGGCTTTACAACGTCCAGAAGTCCTCCTACCTGACCTTCGATGGCCAGCAACTGGGTTCTTGAAAGAGAGATATAGATATATATATATATATATATATATACAAGTATTATTGGTTATGTTATTATTGCTAGCAATATCAATATAAATAGTTACATTAGTCAGGTAAAGTACACAATATAGAATAATATTACTGGTTATACTATTTTCTATAAATCCCTATTATGGTCACTACCCAGGCAACTCTCGTGCACCTCCTGCCGGGATCGGCGGAGCCCTCAGACCCAATGGCTCCAAAATCCCTTCATTGAGAAAACACCGGTTTGAGAGTTCAGGGTGTAGGGTCCCTTAATCAAGAAACTCAGGGTTAAAGGGTTGAGGGTTTAGGGTCCCTTAGTTAAGAAACTGAAAGTTTAGGGTTTCAGGGTTTGGGGTTTTGGCGTCTCCCAGCGGTACCTCTTTCCATTTTGGGTTTTTGTTCTCCGCACGAAGGGTAGGAAATTTGCCTCAGCGTGGTTCGGGGGAATCAGGGTCGGGCTGCATCCGAAGCCAGCTCAGAATTCTGGCGAGGAGACGCTTGGACCGTGAAATACCCTCTAAATTCGATTAGGGTTTAGGGCTTAAGATGTAACAGGATCTGTATAATTGTGAGGATTTACAGGGGTTCTACAGGGGTTTGTAGCGGTGTACGTGCAGAAGCCCGAAATCTCCGGCCCTGAGCAGCAGTGTAAGCCACAGCTCTCAATGCCGTTCAACTGCCCAGACCCCCGGGAGGATCCAAAAAGTAGATCCCTTAAGGCGGTTCCTACAAAGTACCCTTTAGTAGCCAGGGTCCCCAAATCAGGGGTTCTACTTTTTGGATCCTCCCGGATTTCTGGGTGCAGGATCAACCTTTCAGCCATAGTAGAAGCCCAGAAACCCCACTCTAAACCCGCAGCAGCGAGTAATATAGGGGCCTGAAGGACTAGACTACGGCTTCGGGGTACATGGTGCCCTAAAGAAGAATACTGCTTGCTATTTGGCCCAGCATAACCCCGAAGCATACTGGGACGCCAAGGGGCTCTTAGTAGATACCATTCTTGACCAGGAGAATGAGCTACTTTTGGAAGCCATGAGTAACTACCAGTGCTTTTCCTTGGGGTTTCCTTTTCCGTGGGGTTCCCTCTTCCTTGGGGTTCCCTAACATGAGCATGCGAGTTTCGAGTTATACGCCCAAGCCCGGCTCCAATTATGAAGGCTCCTAGATTACCAACCCTAAACCCTAAACCCTAAACCCTAAACCCCTAAAGCTTATGAAGGCCCCTAGATTACCACGGTCACAAGCGTAGTCCTTCTCAAAGCGAGGAACTTTAGAACCCCTAAACCCTAAATTACTAAACCGGTTTAGGGCTTAGGGTGTAGGGTTTAGGGTTTAGGGCTAAACCCCTAAACCGCTAAACCCCTAAACCCTAAACCCCTAAACCTCTAAACCCTAAAACTCGGCTTCAGGGTTTAGGGCTTCATGGTGCTTCAAAGCCAAAGCACAGCCCAAAGCCATGACAAAGCGGCCACTGGAGCCTACGCCAGAGCCTGGGTGGCACTTTGGGCAACTTTAACGCTTCCCCTTATCTTCGGGGCTAGTAGGTAACCTTTAACCTGTTGGGGCTTTTGTAGTTCTGCTATATTTCAAGAGGTTTTGGGCTAGGGTACACACCCCTAACTTATGGTTCCTCAAGAGGTACCCATTCAGAAATACTTTTACGGGCCCCAAAACCCTAAACCCTAAACCCGAAAACTACAACCCAGGAGCTCGTGCGAGTTTGGAAGACCTCGGGCGAAGAGATTGCCTCCCTGCCTGTGGACGAGCTGACTTTAGGCCGTTCTTGTAAAGCCTTTTCAATTCCGGTCTATACGAAGGAAGGGAGCTCAAGACCCCTGAGTATAAGGAATATGCCTTAAATTATAGGGGCCTTCATATGATGGTTCAAGGTCTATTCCTTAATTAAGGGATATTGAGCTCTCTGGACACTTCTTACTTGGAGGATGGGGGGACTTAGTAAGTAGATACTAAGTAGTTATAAGTACCCTAAAAGGGATCCTAATTAGGGTTATAGTATCTATAAGTCTATAAAATAACCGTTTACTAAGTCCCCCGACCCTCCAAGTAGGAACTTTTTAAACGAAGAACAGCTCAGGAGTGATGTCAAGGCTCTGAAGAGGTGGGCCATTTTGCGCGAAAACACGGTCTGCGAAGGAGTCATAGCAGTATCCACACACACACACACACACATCCTGTGGGTTTAGGGTTTACGGTTTGAATTTAGGGTTTGGGGTCTATATGTGCATACCTCCGACTCCTATGTCTAACTTGCTCGTTTCAAGTTGCCTGTGTAGCTACTTGTTTATTACTTATTCAACCATGTCTGATGTTCAGGGTTTTCGTATGTGGGTAGTTCTCTAAATTAGGGTCCCTGTTTAGATCCCCAATATAGTACGGCACCCTTGCAAAAAGGACCCTAAAAGAGACCCTAATTTAGATAATTACCCTGAAAGTACCCCTATAGAAACCCTTATAGATCCCTTTAACGGCCCTAGAAGGGACCCTAATTTGGATAACTACCCATGTGCTAGCAAGCAAACCCTAAAGCCTGAACCTTGAACCCTAAACCGTAAACCCTGA